TCGACTTATCCCGAGACAGGCGCGCCTCGTCCAACTCTTTCTCCAACACCACTTTCTCGGCAGCCCAAGCTTTCTTCTCTTCCTCAAAAGCACGACGACCTTCCAGCAGTTTGTCTCGTTCGTTGGATATCCACTTGAAGTCGGCCCTGCTTTTACTCAAGCTGTCCTCCAAAGAAGAGAGTTTTTTCCCCTGCACCTTGGAGTCCCTCACTAGCCCCCGAATTTTGTCTTCATTGACGAGTGAGAGAACCGAAAGACGGTTGGTTAGGGACTCAATTCCCTTTGCAATTGAGAAAGCACTCATCTTTTCTAAGTCGCCGCGGTCTCCCTCAAGCAGATCCGTTCCGCGAATATGGGCGCTGTGATTAAACTTTTCATCCCAGAAAGAGGCCACGCCACTACGCTCGTGACCATGATCCACTGGATCCCAATTTTCGCCGAGGCAAGCACTAATAGTCCTTTCAACGGATTGGACCTCGGTATCGCCCTTATCAATCTCGGTGGCTACCACTGTCTCCAAGTTCACCACCGACACGGACTTCTCGCCCTCGCGCCGACGCTTGTGTGAGGATTCGCCAACACCCCTCGCCGCAGTCACAGGTTTTTCAGTCTCCACAACCTTCTCGGTCGCCGATTCCCCGACCCTGGCAACTTGGGAAGCTTGCTGCTGTTTCCAGAGCTTGGCCAATTCCCGATTGCTCATACTCGCCATCCTATCTGCACGATGACCAAGTAAACATTATGTTATAACGAAAAATAAAGCATCACAAAGAAACAATAAGGTACAAAAGGGGCGATCGGCGAGAAACCGATTACCTATATATATTCTCAATTCATGGGGCCTACTTTCTAAATCTAAGAGTTTGGCGGTGTTGAAAATCGTTTTCAATTCCTCAAGTTTCCTAACATCCTCTTGGTCCTTCTCAGGAACCTTGTCAGGACTTAACCCACCACAGGGCTTAGTTTTCTCGTTCCAATACAAGGGATACCCTTTAAGTAAGCCCTCGTTGCCAGGCGTACAACGAACTCGGAAATAGGATTTCTTGAAGTCCTTATAGGACGACTGAAAAAGTGTTAAAATTCCCCGACCCGATACCCCATGGACGGACACCCAACCACTGCGTTTATTGATACGACTTTCAAAAAAATAAAAAAACTTTTCTACAGTCGGGATTAGCCCGAGACCCCCACACAAAACCTCAAAAGCTCGGATGAACGCCCAACTATTAGGGTGTAATTGAGTAGGTGCCACATTCAAGGCGCTCAGGACCCCTTTTTGGAAATCGGAAAGTGGCCACCTAACCCTAAGCTTAGAAATTAGAGTCGCATAGCAAAACGTAAAATGCTCAATGCCGTCACCCCTAATACACACAGGCTCCCCATCCACACAAGGCTCACAAACAAGCACATTATCACCCTCAATACATACCACATGCTCCCTACAAAAACTGTCCATTTCAGCCCACGAATTCATTAGAGATGAGCAACGAAGCACATCATCCTTAACCCACTTATACGCGTCTCCATAACTTATAGCCTCCATGGTATAAACAAACTTGAACTACAAGGGGGAACTAAAAGGTCCTCTATAATCAAGAAAGGCCAAAGGGGGATTAGATAGGCGTACCTAAAGACACAAAAACGACCCTTTCTCACTCAACAAATGTCACCAACACGCCGTACACCACCGCGCACCACCGTAGTTCTCAAATGGAGCAGAGGTCCTCACCGGAGAAGAGAACGCAGGTAGAAAGAAAGGCCGCAGGTAGAAAGAAAGGCAAAGGAATTACAAAAAAGGAAGGCTACCCTATTTATAAGAGTCCAAAGGTCGCGCGTGGAGTTGGGAAACCCAAGGGTCGCAGCGCGTGTGGAACGTTACAACCCTTAACCCAAGGGACAAAAAAAAAAGGGGGGGGTGCATACCATTAACTTTAGCAACACGTTTGGCCACGTGGCACAGTCATTATTCGCACCCCTGCAACGCCGATTTTGCAATAAATACATGTCCTTTTTCGAGTAAGGTGAATAGACACCCCCTTTCAGGTTTTGGGAAATTGCGGTCTCACGTGACGAGTTGGAGTATCGCAGTGTACCGCCCAGGTCGCCATCCGACCTGGTTTTCCACTCGGCAAATACACAACCAGGTTGCCAGGCCTTAAGCCCTTTCGCCTTATAGGCTCAGGGCTGGAAGGCAAGTGTACCGTCTCGGTCGTGGGCCGATCTGATATTCTCGAACCATGACCGATGTCGTTAAGATGTATACTCGGTTTAGCCTTATCGCCTTACAGGCTCAAGGCTGGAAGGCAAGTGTACCGTCTCGGTCATAGACCGATACATATTCTCGGCCTAGGTCCGATGCCGTTAAGATGTACACTCGGTTTAGCCTTCACGCCTCACAGGCTCAAGGCTGGAAGGCAAGTGTACCGTCTCGGTCGTGGGCCGATCTGATCTCCTTAACGGTGATAGGACGTCAACAGCCCTATACTCGGAAATTACCCGACTTGGCAACCAGGCCCTAAAACCTCTCGCCTTATGGGCACTCGGAAATAAGGTGACCATGATTTCCTACTCGGTATTAACCCGATGTAGGGTTCAGTAAAAGCCTATTCGGTCATGACCCGACTAGGCTTAGCGAGCTCGATTCCTCTTGCCTACCAGGGAACCACTCGGCACTTATCTCGTCGGATTTTCGGTATAGACCCTGTCGGTCGGACCCCGACTGAACTCGTTCCCGTTGATCTCGCATCATCGTGATAAGAACGGTTAGGGAAATCCCTTGATCCTCGGGGTCTAAGGAGCCCACGAACAACGCACCATAAAGCCTGAAACCCTAGAGTTGAGACGACAGAACACACTTTTGAATGCTCTGACTTTGAGGCACGACCTAGGAAAAAACCCTAGTCCACCCCTTGGCCGGAACAAGTTTATTTAATATATAATTACATATAATATTAATGTTTATTTTCAATAAGTTTCAAAATCTCATATTTTATGCATTACTATAACTTATATTTATAATTTTTAATAATATAATTGCATATATTATACTTATAATGCATATAAAAGTATTTTTTTAATGAAAATATTACGTTACTATAAGATTATATAATTAATGACAATTTATTTTAAAATAATACTTACAATGGTTATTCTTTTAATTTATTTTAAATCTGCTGACATATCAACACCTTTCGTAAACTTTTAAACAAATAAAAAAAATAGTTAGGACTGATAGTAAGAGTCGATTTTTAGACAATAATAAAAGATAAATGAAATATATATAATATAAAAATTATAAAGATAAAATAATTTAAATATTGTGTATACCAAAAGAGAATATCTCATATATTATTAATATTAGTACAGAATAGATTGTCTATTTGGTGGCTCCTAAATTAATGTTCTGTTCTCGTGTTCTTGTTACCTAACATCCACATGTTGCATGCCTGTATATATAATTTCTATATTCTGCTCAGCGACAAAAGTCTTATCCATGATGATGCTTGACGATGGAATGACTCTTTCAAGGAAGAATTAAAATTTTTAAATTCCATCTTGTGCTTTTTTATTTGACCAGAGGAGAGGCTTTTACGAGAAAAAAAAAATTAAAAATAAAAGATTATAAAATAAAATCACGCAAAGAACGTGCATTGATTTTTTTTTTTTAATAAAACATATTAAAAAAATGCTCAAAGTCAAAAAGTTTCATTGCACAAACAAAATGAGATACCAAACAAAAATAGACAAATTTTAACACTACAACAAAATTTATTTTTAATGACAATTATTTAATGGCAATAATTTAATTGCCACCATATGTAAAAATATTAATGGCTAATATATAATAGCCACTAAAAATATATTTATATTACACTAAAGTTTACTATTAGCGACAATTATTTAGAAAAAACTTAAGTCCCACATTGATTAGAGATAAGATAATTAAATAGTATATAAGTGAGTAATAACTATCACCTTACATGTTCATTTTATAGGGTTGACTCCTAATTCACTATTCTAAATTGGTATCAAATCACTCATTGTTACCAACTTCAATAGTGCTATAAAATAATTAGAGACCAACTTTGACCTTATAAATCTCACATTGCTTAAAAGACAACATAATTAAAAAATAAATTAAAAAATATATAAATAAAAGACAACTCTCATTTTACAAATCTCATATCGAGTAGAGATAAAAAAGTATATAAGTTATGAATTTAGAAAATGAAATTATAGGAATAAATTATTTAAAGTAAAGGAGACAATTGAAAAAAATAACTTTTAATAGCCTTTAAAATGGCTACTAGAATTGCCACTAAAAAAATAAAATTTTCCGACAATTTAGTAGATCTTTACCGGCATTTTATATAAATGCCGGTAATAGTATTAACGACACTGGATACACCAGCCATTAATTAAATGCTGGTAAAAAAATTATGGCCATTTATATGACCGCTAAATAATAAGTTAATTGCCACAAAAAACTAGTTTTTGTGTAGTGTAAGAGAATTTGGTTTTGAATATTGAGTATGTTAAGGTATAGAGTAAAACACCATTAATATCTTATTATTTGATGAGTGAATCAGAGACAAAATAAAAATAAAATAAAATAAAATAAAATAAAATAAAAATTATATTTGATCGTATATAAAGAAGATTTTATTAAGTTGCATGAAAACTCATGACAAGACATCCAACCTAAATTATTAAGATATTAAATTTGTAAATTTTTCCTTACTTATATATTATTCAACTCACCCATTTCTATCTATTATAAATCATTTTTATAATCATAGATTCATATATACCCATTTGAATTAAGTATATTAAAATCACAATATACTTTAAATTAAGAAGAAAAAAAATAATTTTATTTGGTAACTTTATAGGAATAATAAAATCAAATCAAATCGAGTGTAGTCTTTAACTTAATTAATATACATTTTGCCTTAATTAAGTCATGTCTTCATTATATAAGGTGAGGAAATAGCATAGGGACCATGTGCTATGCTAAGCACTTTCCGAAGACCAACTGAAAAGAATATGGGTCGCTCCACTTTTTACCTTCACCTTCTTGTTTCATCTTTTCTTATTTTCACTTTGTTGCTGAATGCTGTCCATGCCAGTAAAAAGGTAAACCAGTTTATTTGCTTGTTTGCATACTGTTGTGAGGTTTCTCTTCGAAAATGAGGGGATAATTTTATAAATATGGTGTATAAATGAAATCTGGATTATGATACATAGGTTAATTACTTTATTTTTGTTACACTTAATCAATTGTTGGTATTTGATTTGCTGTTTATAGTGCTACATTGTATATTTGGGAGCACATTCTCATGGTCCAATTCCTTCATCTATTGATCTTGAAACTGCCACACGTTCTCATTATGATTTGCTAGGTTCAATCTTGGGAAGGTATATAAATTGATGAAACCATTAAATTCAGCCTAAGATCTGGTTTAGAAGAAACTGATTAATTGATTAACTCTGTTCTGTTTGTTTATCATTCACAGCTATGAAAAGGCCAAAGAAGCAATTATTTATTCATATAATAAACACATCAATGGCTTTGCGGCTGCACTTGAAGAGGAAGAAGCAGAAGATATTGCAAGTGCGAAAATAAACAGTGTTTTCAACTAATTTTTCGTTAGGTTCAAATCTTTTAGTTGACACTATGATTCCACTAATGCAGAAAAACCAAACGTGGTATCTGTGTTCTTGAGCAAAGAGCATAAACTGCACACTACTCGTTCATGGGAGTTTCTTGGACTGCAAAGAAATGGAGTGAATTCAGCATGGCAAAAGGGAAGATTTGGTGAAAATACAATCATCGCTAACATTGACACAGGTAAACTTTATAGCATTACTGCACTTTATTTAACAATCCAATATTCTATATATTTCCTAAAATGGTGTTATGGTTTTGAGTTTAATGAGTATCACTTTAATACCTAAAAAGTCATTAAGTGAAGTAGTATTTCTATATTTCATTTTATTACAAAAAGATTAAAGTGAACGAAGATTTTATATATAAAATCAGGAACTAATAAGGTTAAAAAAAAATTCACAAAATCAAATATTAAAGTGACTGATACTTGCAAGTTAAAATCTAAAATGGGATTTTATTCGATTAGTTATCAATTAAATATTTTGAAAGAACATGAATACTAATGATCATGACCAGAAATATCAATTGATCCTATAGTTTACTGTACATTTTATTTGTTTATTTTATTGAGGATGGATAGAAGGTTGACGTTGTCATAACATGTTAATTATAGGACTTTTAGGTGCTTTCCAGGTTTTCAAATTAATTAATTAACCTAGCTCTACTCGCCGACAAGCACTACAGCCTTTCTTGAGTTGGTAAGATGCTTTTTGAACAAAGGTTTTGAATACCGAAAACACTTGCAATCGATAGTTATCTATCTTATTAGATTTTGTTATTTGGAAACCTATTATATATAGAGATGGAGATATATATATATAAAATTAATTATTACATATTATTTAATATTTTTATATTACGTAATTTATCTTAAAACATTAAGTGATGCAAGTATAACACTTGGTATCAATTAATTGAAAGTTATATATACATAAAGTAATAAAATAGTATACAAATATATAAAGCATTATTATACTTAATTTTTATGTTTTCTTATCACTTTTCACAATTTTCAGAGGATTTCCATTTTAATTATTTCAAAACAACAGCAGTACAGCACATATCTGTAATTACTTATATTTTTGTAGATTTAATAATTTTTTGGGGGAAGCTTTTGGTCTTAATAAATAAGTCAAGTAATGTATTTTTAGCCTTTGCGTACAAGAATTCAAATTTTCTCATTTTTCTATTATAAATTATTACATAATATTACTATTCTGAAAAGGTAAAGATCGATAATGATGAACTGCACTATGATGTAAGATTTAAGATTCCCTGGCAGATAAGATGTGGGAATAAGAATTAGTTTATAGCTAGAAGATGCTATGAGTGTTGATGCACACACAAAAAAGATGCAGGGTCAACAGTAAGGAATTTATATTTGTGTTAATGTCTAAAATATGATAGATCTAAAATGAGATTTCTAAATTCTTTGGCTAAACGACCATTGTGGGGTACTATTATAAACTTATTACCAAAATAGGGCTGTTTTGAAACATTTTACACCTTTGGGGTTCTTTTATTGGGTGTCGCTATGACCCATAGCGACACCCATGACACGTGGCATTTTTTGGTCTGAATATGAGCCATGAACGCCATATTGGTAGAGTCGCTGTAGCTGGTGGAGACCTTCAAAGAGTCGCTATAGCCTATAGCGACTCAAATCGGCTAAAAACGAAAAAAAATAATTAAAAAACGAAAAAAAAAATTTATTTGGGGCGCTATGGCCCATAGCTCCACTCAGGCGCTATGGGCCACAGCGCCTGTGTTAAAAATATATCTAATATTTTTAAAATATATCTTATATTTTTAAAATTTAAATTTTTTTTACAAATTTATAAAAAAATAACAGGTAAAAGGGAAAAAAAGATTGAAATAAGAAAAAAATGTTAATTTTAAAAAATAAGTAATAAAATGTAAAAAATAATTTAAAAAAGAAAAAAAAAAATTTAAATTGGGGCGCTATGGCCCATAGCTCCACTCAGGCGCTATGGGCCACAGCGCCTGTGTTAAAAATATATCTAATATTTTTAAAATATATCTTATATTTTTAAAATTTAAAATTGATATAATTTATTTCTGTGTAATTTATGTTTATTAAAAAAATAAATAATTACAAATTTATAAATGATTTAATTTATTTCTGTGTCATTAAATTTATATAAATTCTAAATTGATTTAATTTAATTCTGTGTTATTTATGTTAATTAAAAAAAATTGATTTATATTTGAAATACGTTTAATTTATTTCTGCTTAAATATTGAATTTATTTATTTTAATTCTGTTTTAATTTTATTTAATTTTAAAAAATAAGTTTATTTAAATTTTGAATTTATTTAATTTAATTCTGTTTTAATTTTATTTAATTAGAAAAAAAGTTTATTTAAATTTTTTAATTTATTTAATTTAATTCTGTTTTAATTTTATTTAATTAGAAAATAAGTTTATTTAAAATTTTAATTAATTTAATTTAATTTAATTCTGTCTTAATTTTATTTAATGTAAAAAATAATTAAAAAACAAAAAAAAAAGGGGCGCTGTGAGCCACAGCGCCACTCAGGCGTACTGGGCCACAGCGCCTGTTAAGAAAATAATGTAAAAAATAATTGAAAAACGAAAAAAAAAAAAAATGGGGCGCTATGAGCCACAGCGCCACTTAGGCGTACTGGGCAAGCCTATAGCGACACTGGTCCAACCCAATCAAGCCTAAAAAAAAAAAAAACCCACGCGTCATAAAAGAGCCCCAAAAGTGTAAATAGTTTCAAAACAACATTATTTTGGTAATAAGTTTTTAAAAATGCCCCACAGTGTTCGTTTAGCCAAATTCTTTAAATACTCTCCGAATTTCCCCCCTTTGTACAGGTGTTTGGCCTGAATCCAAGAGTTTCGCTGACAAGGGAATAGGTCCTGTCCCCACAAAATGGCGTGGTGGTAATGTCTGTCAAATTAACAGACTTCGGGGTTTGAAGCGAGTTCCATGTAACAGGTCCTCTTCCTTTCTTTTAATATTATTGCTTGCTTCCTATAGAATAACTGATTATAATATTGTATAAGTAATTTTAAATTTTATTCTATAGTTACAAATATATAAATAATTAGTTTAAGCACAATCTATAAATTATATATTGAAAGAGAAAATATATTTAACAAGTATCACTGCAAAAAAGCATATGTATAATCATTTAACATTAATATAATATCAAAATTTTCAAAATAAAATTAAGATATATAAAAACAACGTGATAACCCATGAGTCAGCACAGTGATCTGACATCATGCACCTATACATTATCACCATGATTTATTTAACATCTATTATTATTACCGTTTGCAAAATCTTTTAAGTCAATAGTATAGTTACAGACCAAAATTCACACTTAGAAAGTTTGGCATACAATTGTTTATCTTTTAGGATTTGAAGAACAGTTTGAAGGTGTTCTTCATGTTCTTTCAGAGTTCGAGAATATATAAGGATATCATCTATAAAGACCACCACAAAATGGTCTAAATAAGGAAGAAAAATCTTATTCATATAATCCATGAACATTGCAGGTGCATTGGTTACTCCAAAAGGCATCACTTGATATTCATAATGACCATACCTTGTTCTAAATGCAGTTTTTTGTATGTCTTCTGCTTTCACTTTGATTTGATGGTATCCTGATCTTAGATCTATCTTAGAAAACACAGTGGCTCCCCTCAATTGATCCAGCAAATCATCTATCCTAGGAAAAGGGTATTTATTCTTTATGGTAAACTTATTTAATTGCCGATAGTCCACACACAGCCTAAAGCTTCCATCTTTCTTTTTAACTAACAAAACAGGAGCACCCCAAGGTGATACACTAGGACGTATGAATTGTTTTTCAAGTAACTCTTCTAATTGTTTCTTCAACTCCGTCAACTCAGAAGGTGACATCCTATAAGGTGCCATTGAAATTGGTCCAGTTCCAGGTATTAAATCAATCGAAAATTCAATCTCTCTGTCAGGTGGCAAACCAGGTATATCATTAGGAAAGACTTCAGGAAAATTTTGAACAACAGCTATGTTTTTCAAGTTGACTTCCTCTTTAGCTTCCATAGA